CCTATCTATTTAAGCACATTTTATGCGTGTTAAAAGGTCATTTGACGAGGAACAAATTTGCTAACTACTCTAATAGACAGCGGAGTTATTTTACATAAACGTTCCACTTCAAAACGTACTAAATAAAAAAAGTGTGTTTTAAAATTCCACGGTCTTACCTTCTGGGGCTTTCACGACTCTTCCATCTCCATAAAATCCCACGCAAATGCTCCATGCGAAAACCACAGAAGGACACTGAGATTCCCAGAGAGAAACTTCTGCAGACAAACGAGGCTTTACCTCGCACTTTGTTCGTTTAGGGCACTTTCTCGCATGTAATTAAACCCATGCAAGCAAACGTTTTTCAAAAGATTTACAGTGACATCTTAGAGAAGTCATCACATATGAGCAAAATAAGAGTTTTTGCTTTCTCTCTTGTCGTACAAGGTTTCCTTGGGAACACCTCCTTCGTTTACATCAGTAAATATCATCACTGCCCTTAAAAGATCACGCTATTCCCCAAAGTTAACTCCTATTTTTTTTTTAAACTTAATGGAAATATTAGCTGATATACCCTCTATTTAAGTGTCACTGTATTTGACAGCAAATATTAGAAAACAATGAACCAAATTTTAAAAATAATTAACTTAAATGGGTACATAATATAGTACAAAACTATGTGCACTAAATATATTGTTTACTGTCATTTGAATCTTTTAGCTTCAGCATATTTAGTAAGAAGATATTTCATTTTCATGAAAATGTGTTGCGAGTGATTATTTCACAATGAACTAGATGAACCACGGATGGAATGATGGTTCAGATGTGACACGCGGTTGAGTGCAAAGCTAACAACTTGACGACCAGATCGTAAAAATTTCTATCGCTGTTCCAATCATTTGTGCCCCCCCCCGATCGACTCAACTTTGATATACTGCCATACTTTAGTATGCGCAGTATGAATATCATTGAAAATATCAATTTTCATTTAAGATCTGTTTCAATGTCACGTGAAGTGATATCGTAATGATTGTCATAGCTAATTAAAGAGAGTTTTCAGTTTTTACGAGATATCAGTTCAGGAATTTACAAGTTGACAGATGCCTTGAATTTTCTATGTTATTTATTGCAATATTATTTGCTTGCTTACTAGGTATCTAGTTCAAAATCGCTCCGAAGTATTATTTCAAGGAAGAAAACCAATTAATTCCGTTATCCTCAAATATCGTTTTAAACTGTTACAACAAATAATTTCTCAAAAATGATTTACGAAAAGCCGGATTATTATATTTCTGTATTTTTTGATCTGTTATGTTGTAAATGTTCTGTTCTCGTTCATTGAGGTTATATGTTAGGTTAGGAAGGATTTATTCTAAATTACGGAGTTGACAGATTGACTCATATAGGTAATTAATATTTTTCTATGTAACATAGAAAAGACATGTGAAGAGCTCTCTTCCATCGATACGATATATGCAACCATTAATTTATATGTAAGTAATTATAATTATAATGCCCTTTTGATACCTAAATCAAATATTACCAATAATGATAAAGTAATATATTATAATATTAATTAAAATTGAGTCGTTCTTTTTAGAAAAGTCACAAGTCCGAAAACAGTTTTCAGGAGATAAAAACTACCTCTGGACAGTATTTGAAGAGCTATTATTTTAACTTAGAAAAGGAACGATTGGAAAGAAGTCGAATAAAAATAATTTTTTAACTGATGAAACAAAATATTACTTCAATATAAGTATTGGACGTATGCCCTCTCTATAATGAATAATATCACTGTATAACACCTATAATGAGTCTTTTTGGTGGTGACTATTAACATATATTTTGTTTTACGATGTGCACAGTGTATCTAGCTCTTTTTAAAATTGTTGTCTTTCCGTTATCAATATACTACACTTTTTTCAGCTCTCTTTACCTTTTTCAGTCGCAAGTTGTAAAATTTCCTCATTAATCTCTCTATGTTCTGGAGGTATGTAACGACGAATGTCCAACATTTTCCTTAGCTGAATTGAAACAGGTCCTCCAAAAGCATTTTGCAAAGAAAAATTAACATTTGCTACTGAAATTCAAAAGTCAAATGTGTGATCATTTACACCATGAATGTAATCACATGGCCATAAATTACCTGCTCTATTGTTATGACAATCAAAGTACATAATGTTTGTGGCTTGTAATGATACGTTTTTAAATTATTGGAATTTGGAATTTTCATTTACTAAAGACGATCCACCTCTTCAATAGTAATTCACGCATCATTCACAAAAGTTTAGAATATCTTCAGTTGATACGTTTTACTATAATCTGTTGTTCATAGTTGTATTCACTATGCGTATATACTCTACGTACTCCTAACTGTATATATACACTCAGCTCTTCAAAGCACTCGTTTTATAAGTCCAAATTTCATGTCACAAATATTCCAAGAATATTCTCTACCCGGGAAATAGCTTCTCTCTTTCTCAAATCTTCCAGTTTCTGCAAGGGCTAGACAGAAGCGGACTACTGTATGATACTTGTTTTGTTCCAAGGATCCCTCTGAAAAAATACTGAGATCTTTCATTTTGACTAATGCTTCATTTAATCATAAATGAAAGAACATACGTCATTTATTCTTTTACTAGCAGTTCCTTCGTTGTAGACATAAAATTGACACTCATTTGTTTTTATAATATGCAAAATACATTCATTCGCAGATATTCTAGGTAGAATACATCTTGAATTGGAGCTTTGAGAAGGTTCAAATTTTACATATAATCCAAGCAGAAACCCTATATTCTATCATCTTGTTTGGTTTTAACTGTGAATTCATTCATAGCACTACGAGCATTTCTTTGAATTGTGATTGTTCACCATATACTCTGCACTGCCCATTCTTTTTCCAGCATCATTTAGCATATGACTTCAGATTTTCAACATTAAAGTCTCACATGCCACAAGTATCTGTTTGAGATTGTCTAAATGAGAGTTTAAAGTTTGCTTTAAAATTCTTTTAAGATAATATTTTTATTTTAATATATTTGTAGCGCGAGGATTGCGCTAATGTTCATTATAGAACAAAACTCACGTCCAGAACGTGTGACCCCTCTAAAGTGAATTCTCTAAAGAAACCCGATTTTCTCACATAAAGAATACAGGAAAAGAGTTGGTTCCATGCCAAGACAATGCAAGTACTTTGTATTGGTAGGATCAAGTTTCTAAACTCATTTATGCAAAAATGGACATGAGGTCTTTCTAAAATGACATATTCAATTAAACAAGTCAGATATTCCGTGGTGGTAGCAGATATCTTGTGGTAATCCATAGTATGGTAAAGGAAATAATCTCCCCAAAAGTTTTTTTTGTGGAGATTATTTCCTTTACCATACTAAATCAGATCTTGTCCGTCAATACAAATATTTTACGAAATTACTATCTTTGATTCTGGCAATGAAAAGTGTTATGAACTCTTCACTATTTCCTAAATAAAATATATATTTTACTAAGGATTCTCTAGAGTGATGGGACCTTTCAAAGTGCCTGTTCTTTAAGACGACAAATCATCTTGAAGGTAACAGATGAGCTATTTCTGTAAATTAAATCATAAACGTAGATGCCGCGAGGACATGAACGAGAAATTGTAACACAAACATTCACAATGAGTATGGACGTAAACGTGAACACAACCACTCATCTATATAGATATAATATACACTCGACAGAGAAATTTTATATTCACTCGAACGTCATGAAGTAAAATAGATGCGATCACGCAAGGAGAATAATTATTATTTATATAATGAGCTCGACAAGTGATTCCAAGGAGCAATGGATATGATGAAGGTCAATGTGTGTCCTTACAAAGTCCATTAGGTTCATCAAAAGCAATAGACATTTTTTGGATGTAAATACGATGGTCTATAGTGTGTTATTTTAGGTGCACGTCAACGTTAGCTGTAAAAACTTGAAATTTGCTAACTTTCACAGTTACGTCTTCTGCTATATTCCAGTTTTATTTGATATTCATCGTTCTGAACGACTCCATAAAAACGTTTCTCCAAGTCTGCGTTACGTTTACACCGAAGTTTCCCTGTGAATGCACGTTAATTGTTCTGCGCTGAGCCGCTCTGGCCAAGACATGGGGGATTGCGCAGGACACTGGACGCATCCCGACTGCATCCCGCGTCCAACTTCTCCTAAGCTCTTTACCTTCCCCACCAAAAGAGGCACAGTGCGATTGCATCCTGTTCGCTGTTTCTCGTGGCTACAAGGAAGAGCTCGGTTAGGTATGAGAGTTTTCACGATTGCTCTTTGCATAAATTATCTTTTCAACATTCATTTTGTGTTGTATTGTTCTCATCTCATAGAAATGAAAAGCTTCTCATTTTGAAATTAAACTCTACCGTGTCATTTCGAAATTTCAAACTGTCATTGGGAAATTAAATTATCTTTAATTCAAACTGATTTCTACGTTTAGTTCGGTAACTCCACAGTTCCGGAAATTCTACGTTCGCCTGGGTTCCAGATTATCTCTCGATCGGAGCAAGTACGTCAATTTGCGTTACTCATGATTGTAAACTGAACTTCGATACAAAAGTTTATGTCCCAAGTAAAATATTTTCTCCTGCACAACTGTTTCTATACAATTAGAGCCTGTACCGAGCATCCGACAGGAAAGCAATATTATTTTTAACAATGACATTTAATGTATTTTATACCATTTGGATTGTATAATTGTAAAGAACCTGTGACAAGTATTGCACTTCAGTTTCTGGGTCAATGGTCCCCATCTCGATCAAGATTTCGTCCAGTTTCCCTGATCTTCGAGCAAATGCTGAGATGGCCCCTTGTTTTGCTTCTGGATATAAATGTAACTTCAAATTAACTTCTCCCCATAGCAGGTTACACAAAATTGTAAACTGTTTTTGACGTAAATAAATGAATAAACTTGATTGTTTTCTGTTGATCCCACTCGAGGCGGCAGCCAGGATGGGATCGGCACCGCTGTCGGGGGGTAGCGAGAAATGGAAGGGGATGGAGTGGGTGGACTGAGCGCGCGGTGCGCTGTGGGCGGTTCCGCAGGCAACTACATCTCGGAGGTGGGCGCGGAGTCGTGGCGCGGGCTGGAGGGGTCGCTGCAGGAGCTGTCGCTCGCCGACAACCTGCTGGCCGCGCTGCCGCCCGACGCCTTCGCCGCGCTGCCGCAGCTCGAGGCGCTCGACCTGGGCGGCAACGCGCTGCTGGAGCTGGACGCCTCAGCCTTCCGCGCCGGCCCGCCCCGCCTCGCGCGCCTCGCCCTGCGCCACAACCTGCTCGCCAACGTGCCCTACCGCCAGCTGGTGAGCCCAGCCGCGCCGCGCCCCCCGCGCCGCCTCCGCTCAGCGGCGGCGCGGGCGCTCTCCTTGAGAGTAGAAAGAAAGAAGTCTTTTGCTTCCAACTACTTTCAAGGGAACATGCAACTAATTACACGCGGACGTCGTCTTGCGACGAAATGAGAGTGAGGGAGGAGATGAGAGAGAGAGAGAGAGAGAGAGAGAGAGAGAGAGGAGTGAAAGGGAGAGAGAAAGGATAGAGAGAGGACAGCGGGAGGAGAGAAAATTGAGCAAGTGTGACTTATGAAATGTGTATATATATTTTGAAATATTTTTAACGAAAATTTTGAGGAATTAAGCCGTTAATTCCCATTTGTCAATCTGCTTACAAAGATTTCTCAATTACATGATCACTGAATCTCAAAATGTCACTTATAAATGTCACTAAATTGTGTACGTTTATCCTGGCATTTCTTACGTATGCATGTAATGTGTGAATCTTCAATAACTGATAACTGGTTTTTCTGCACAGTAATCCTACATTTCAACCACGATACCATAATAATGAATAAGAATTTTAGTTGCGACCCTTCGGGTTTAGTTATAGAAATTTTAATGAAATAATAAGATTAAATTTACATTTTGAAAATCATTCATTTCAATTTATAAATTTCTTCTTCAATATTTAAATTGCCGGTCAATTTTAATTTAAAACACGAATGAAACTTTTTATACTGCCAAAACGTACCACTTTCAATTCCACTTTTCAATAGAGTTCCTCTTTTCAATAGAAAGATACGTCTTTTTCACGAAAAACGATAATGTAGCAACATGTTCTGTCCCCTTTCGCCCCCGTGTGTCCGTGGCGCAACGTCTGACCGCCGGGTGCGCTGTGTGCGTGCAGAGCCCCCTGACTGCGCTGAAGCACCTGGACCTGAGCTACAACCGCATCACGGGGCTGCACGCCCCCGAGGGCCCCGGCGCGCAGGGCGACGAGGGCGGCGCGGGCGCGGGCGCGGGCGTGGGCGGCGCGGGCGGTGATCGGCAGCGCCTGCGCTGGTCCCTCGACTCGCTGCGCCTCGACCACAACCAGATCGCCTTCCTGCCGCCCAACGCCTTCGAGCAGTTCGAGTGGCTCAACCGCACGTCGCTCGACGGAAACCCCATCACCTCCGTCCAGGTGCGCGTCTACGCCGGCCTGCTCGCCATTTAACGAAATATCGCCCGCGGCCTCCCGAACTAGTTTTCACCGACAGTAGTTTTTCGAAGTACATAAAAACCGAAAAAGAAAACAGCAATGATATCTGCGATTCTAATAATTTGAGGTTAAAAGCAGATATATTTTATGGCTAAAACAATATGTGACTGGTACACCTCTAAAGAAAAAAATATGCTTATTTCCTACATTTTGTTGACTTGTATTTTTGTCATATCTACAATTGTCGGACAAAATTCAAAAGCTTATATTCTTTGATAACTCTACGTCAGCTATTTGATAAGATGACGAAAAAATATTTGTTCCCTGTTGGTGTTTTAAAATGAATTACGTGAATGTTTTTAATACCATATGAAATATTAAAGTACAAGTAGGATAAAATAAAGAGAAAAAACAATAAATGAAGTAAATGTTCACACTGAGTATTTCTTGGTGTGTATAATATTGTCTATAAATTTTTTCTCCACGCACTAAGTCCCAACCGCTAAGAATAATAAATTCTGTTCCAAGAGAAATGTTTACATAGTAACGAACCAGATCTCGGTGATGGGAGGTGACGCACTTTCACTAATGGAACCTAAGTGACAAATATATTTATGTTGTTCTGACGGAATATTTCTAATATTTACTTTATATTTATTTAGATCTAAACAGTTATAGTAATTAATTAGATCGCAGGTGAGGTAGATGCCTTCTAATAATTAAATGTAGTAAATTAAAGGTTTTGTCTGTTATCAAAATTGTAGTTTGCTAATGATCGTTTCGATCGCGTAGCGATCATCCTCAGAGCTTGCAGTTTCCGGGCCGAAAACAAAGATACCCGTCAACACCTTTAATTTGCCATATTTAGTAATAGTAACTCTACCGGGTTGACGTTGTCGCCTACATAAGTTAGGGGACCTCGCTTTTCGTTCAAGCGTTGAGTGAGTACGAGTGCCTTGCGCAGGTGGACGCGTTCCGCGACGCGCACGTGCGCGAGCTGTCGTTCCGCGGCTGCGGGCTGGCGGACGCGTCGGCCGGCGCGTTCTCGGGGCTGGAGGGGTCGCTGGCGTGGCTCGACCTGTCGGCCAACAACCTGACGCGGCTGGCGGCGCCGCTGCTGGAGCGGTTCGGCGCGCTGCGCACGCTGCTGCTAGCGGACAACCGCGCGCCCGGGCTGCGCGCGCTCGCCGGGCCCGAGATGGGCGGCGACCCCGGCCGCGCCTCCGCGCTGCCCGGCGGCGCGGGCGCGGGCGGCGGCGCGGGCCGCCCCGGCGACGCCAAGCCCCCGCCCCCGCGCTCCAGCGTCTTCCGCATCGACCTCTCGGGCCCCGAAATGGGCGTCGTCGACCTGCAGGAGCTCAACCGGTGAGGACGGCCCCCCTTGCCACTCTTCACACTGTCACACACCTTCGTTCATTTCAACACTTCTTAGTAGAGGGATCAAACTGAGGGTGTAATGTTCGCGAGGGGAATTGGACGAAGAATGTTCTGAATCAAGGACAGGAGTGTGGAGTTCTCGAATAAATAATAAATGTATGCAACACATGAAAATATAAAGAAAAAATAAATTTGAGCTCATTATTCATTCTTCGAGAAAAGTCAGAAGACACGAAATATTATACATGCGTATTATTATAATATACATTGTGTATTAGAATTATTAATAGAATTATTGTCTTGATTCTAGTTTTTACCTCAAAATTCACCATTTACTCTACCAGTTAACAGATTCTTATATTTACCTAGATTTATTTAATATTTTGGATGGTGATGATGATGACGACGATGATAATGAATGTATGGACAATGTAAAACGCAGAAACAAAATACAACTAGCTGAGGAGTAAAGAATACTTCTTCAAATACATGTCTTCAGTTCAATTTTTAGTTTCTAGTACCTTGTAACCTTGCTTGTTTCATTTGCATATTGTATTTATTTATTTTTGTCACAATGCATGAGAATGTATGCTCCTAATCAGAGTACACTATCAAAGAATACAATTATAAAAATATGTCTGATTGAGAATAAGAAGTTTTCATGATAAAAGTATAGAACTGTCAGCATATATTAACAAAATACACTAATATGTTCTGCCTATTTTTTCTGTCATATAATTTCAGGGGTCGTTCAAAGCGAAGACACATGAACATTGAATTTTTGAAAGACATAGCTTATTTCTTCTTTTGCATTATAACAACTCGCAATTTTTTTTCATACTTTTAATGAAAGTTTCTTTACAAATATTTTTCTCGCTTAATCATGGAACATTGTTTTCCAAATCCCTTCCCCGTGAACCTGTACAACGCGCAGGCGCTAGTGAAAAGATGCGCAGAATCACGTGGGCTGCGCAGGTTCCAAAATCTGCGTTCCCTGGCGGTGTCGAAGCTGCCGCGTGACACGCTCTCGGCGGAGGACCTGCTGAACACGGGCGTGGACCTGGAGGAGCTGCGCATCACGCGCTCCAACCTGCGCACCATCCGCAGCCACGCGTTCGCGCACGCGCGCGGCCTGCGCGTGCTGGACCTGGCCGAGAACGAGATCGCCACCATCGAGGCGGAGGCCTTCTCAGAGGTTCGATGAATCCCGCGATGGCCTCGGGTTTCGATTTCAAAGGCTAATTCTGGAAGCAAGGGTTGAGACCTTCTTGCATCTGTTAGGTTTTGGAAGAAAGCCATCCCAGCATTGTTTCTCTAAGCTCCTCTACAGTTCTTTCATTCAGGAATAGTCCAACTGAATTTATGTAACAGGGAGTTCCTGCCTGAAAAATACATCTTCACCCCTCTTTCACAGTTATCTTGACAGTCTGATGCACTCCCGTTATAACTTATCCATAAGATAAGTTTCCAAACTAGAATGATATTAGTTGTACAGATTAGTACTGACATGCAACTTCAAATTAACTTCTCCCCATAGCACGTCACACACGGTTTTTATTGTTTTTGACGTAAATAAATAAATTTACATTATCTATTTGTTACATTCACTTAGATTTCTTTGCCCTAGCTTATAATATATGTAGCTTATAATCATATTATGATGAGGGTAATTGCCTTTTGTCCAAATCTGCTGAGTTGATCATGTCTATCAGATCTAATGGGTCTCTTTGTACCTTCTTTTTGTTGCGTGTTGACCCACTTGTCTGGGATATCGAGTAGGACACAGCAGTGTTTTAGAGGTAGACCTTGCAAGTGCACGTGACGAGAGGAGGAACGTGCCCTTCGCAGGTGGGCCACTCGCTGACGAGCCTGCGCCTGGACAACGGCCTCGCGTCGTCTTTCAGCAGCGTGCCCGCCGACGCCTTCCGGCCGCTCGCCAACCTGGTGGAGCTGGACCTGAGCAACAACCGCCTGCGCTCCATGCCCGAGTACGCGCTTCTGGCGCTGCGACGCCTGCGCGTGCTGCGCATCGCCGACAACCAGCTGGACCAGCTCGCAGACGGCACCTTCCAGGCGAGTGTTTGCACTTAACACAGATGGCATACTGTCTGATTTGATCATGCTTCTGTATGATTAAACTGCACTATAAATAAATAAACAAATGTTTTATTGGCAGCGAGGCTCAGGTCATTTGGACTGCTCTTCCGCCTGACCATTTTTAAAGTTTAATACAAATTTAAATAATATACAATAGGAGTTAATAAAATTTAAGTAGGGTATGAACAATTTACTTATCTCAATTATGCACTAATTCGTGGTTCGTACGGTTCTTGATTTTTCTATTTCCCGCAAATAATGGATTTTCTTGTAAATGCTCTTTTTGAAGACAGATGCGATATTTTACGTGTCTGTGATAGTTTTATAGATACCAATGGCGTAAAATAATATTTTATAATGCCAAAGAATGAGTTGGTAGAAAAATTACGATATTATAATGTTAACATTTCTAGAGGGGTCGCTGTATATTTACAACTTTAAACAATCTCTTAAGTGTTATCATACCCATACCAATTTCATCTATTTAAGAGTTAAACTTGAGAAAAAAGCCATAGAATAAATATTTCCCTTAAAACAGTGAACATTTCTTGTACATCATGTAGTTAATGTTTGTTGGTTAATGAATATTTGTAGACGACTTTCGAAAGTTAAAAATGCATAAAAATAAATATTTTCACTGGAATAATTTGTAAGATAAATGTTTTTTGTCTCTGTAGTGTCTTTTGTGTCATTATGCTCGAGTTTCAAGTTTTTTGGAAAAAGCCTACTTAACGCATACGTAAGCCGAACTAGACTTCTTCCTTAACTTCCCATCTATTAACAATTATTTTGTATATTTTATTTCTTAAAATCAATAACTCATCTCTATTCTGTGCCTGGAGACTTCAATGAGTGAGTAAGCATGAAACCTGTAACAAGTAGATATTTGGAATTTCAAATGCCCTTTTTAACTTACAGAAAGATGTGCACATGCGGCTAGAAGAAGTGGACATGGGCTTCAACCAGCTGCCCGAGGTGCCCAGCCACGCCTTCAAGGATCTGCCTGCGCTCGAACGCCTACTTCTGGACGACAACCAGATTTCCCGGGTGGGGTGGCAAGCCTTCATGAACCTCCCTCACCTCTACGAATTGCGCCTGAGAGGTATGATTACTTCCTGATACTTGTAACGCACAAGCATAAAATATAGATTCCAACTTCGTATTTTATTGTAAGTATTCATATAAGTAATAGTTCGCCTCTTGAGTATATTATCTCACATAAGAAAAATTTGCGTCGTAAATATTTAACAACCGTAAAACCTTTTCAACAAAACATCATTTGATTCAATAAGAAGATCCAGTACCGTTGTGTGCAGATAAACAAATTTTGTTTATTGTTAGAGATATACGAACTTTGCGGTTAAATTATATTAGTAATGTTTAGGAAAGATATTGCATGTGTATCTACGATACCTTTAATTCAATTGGTTTTAAATATGATAATAGTTTGATGGACAACAAAGCAGACAAAAAAGCTGAGTAAATGTATTTCTGCAGCGTCGTCTGGCATATTAAGCCCTAGTGAATACACGAAACTTCAAATTACCTCGGAAGATTCAATGTTATACTCTTTAATTTCGACATGTACTGCGTGTGGTGAATTGTGCATTTATAGATCAACAATAATTATCACTTCATAAATACAAAAAAATATTATTTACTTCAATGTATCTTTGTAATGTGCTACAAAGGAATATAAAAAATTAACATTAACGTTTGTCTCATTTTTATCTATTAATGTCTACCCTTTACATAGAATCCGACATTCACTTCTGAAGTTATTGAATAAACAAATAAGAGGTTGCTTTAGGTGCAACAAGCCAGGTTTGACAAATAGTAATAATAGCTTGCATCCCCTTATTGGTAATTAACTGAAGAAATCTTTAAAGGCAGATGTCCAAAGCATTTAGCTTCTCAGTGTTAGACCAAGAATAATTTTCTCCTACTACAAAGTTAGGAATGGTTCAGATGAATGGTACACATCATCCTTAATAGCTCAACAGTCGTGAATGTTTACTTCTGCGCAACCGCCAGGCAACAAGCTGACGGAGCTGCCGACCGAGGGCTTCCAGAACCTGCCCGCGCTGCGGCTGCTGGACGTGAGCTGGAACGCGCTGCAGGCGCTGGACCTCGGCTCCGCCCTGGACGCGGTGGGCACGCTGGCCCCGTCCCTGGTCTTCAACGCGTCGCATAACAACCTCTGGCGGCTCGACAGCAACGGCACCGGGGCGCCGCACGTCTCCGTCAAGGTCGGTTCCAGTCTCCGGGAAGCACTCGTGGGCTTCAGATCACGTTACATGAGCACTCCTGTCAAATGATGTTAGTTTATCCCTAATATCACTGGCACTTACATCAAGTTATCACCCTCTTTTGCGTATTCATTTTTGTATTGGGAGCATCAGTCTTGATTTATATAAAATTTAAAATTAAACGTTGCCACATTTCAATTTTATTAAATAGTAATGAAAGAAAGGAGAAAACTGCGTCTTTTTAGTACGGTATTTACATTATTTCCAAAAATATTTGGAATCGATTTTATAATTTTGTTATATCTAAATGAAAATCTTGAGCGTATTAAAAGTCATTTGAGCTTTACATTCAACCAAATTCCCTGATTTTGTTCTGTAGATGAAAGGTAGTGGGTGTTATCATCCTGTCGTAAAAACTAACCAATTTTATAGTAAAAACACAAAATATTAATATCTTGAATGTGATTAGAAATAAAGCTTATTTATCATCATTTGTTCATTACATCGCTTTATTCCGCGAGTTGCTTTTGATCTGTCAAAAGCAATCGTCGTTACTGCCATCGTCTGGCATGAACAAGCTTATGGATATGATGGTATAGATAGGGAAGCGAAGATACGTAGTTTTGGAAGTGCGAAAATTAGTTAGATTACTTATGTAGTTTTCTACTAACCTACCATAAAAATATTGAAGGGTATCCATTAATAGTAATGTATGTATGTATTTGGCATTTTATGGTGGGATTAATCCGACTTTTACCAGCTTCCATCACGGAATCTAGGTTACTTGGCCTGCCTGAGCTTTTTCTTTCGTCACACAACTCTAGAAAATGAGGTGATTGTAATGAAAACTACAGCCCTACTTTTGTCCCGAATGGGAATCGAACCCGCGATCACACCTTGACAAGCTATCACGCTGTTCATGAACAGACAGAGGAACCTAATACTGTGCACGGGCCAGGAGTTGATTTTGAGGTCTCCTTTACTTCAAGCAAACGCTGTACCAACTGAGATAAGGATTAGCGAAAATAGTAATAATAATAATAATATAACAATAATAATTATAGTTATTTATTCTTCCTTCAACATTTATTCCAACGATACCGCCTTTCCTTAAACATGTACCAAAGCTGTGTTTGAACACCAGGGGTTGTTGCGATGTGTCCGACTGAGTGTCGTGGCGTGGTGCGTGCGCGTGCGCAGGTGCTGGACCTGTCGTTCAACAACCTGTCGCTGGTGTCGCGCGGCGCGCTGCGCCCGGTGCAGACGTCGCTGACGCGGCTGCTGCTGTCGCACAACGCGCTGCGCAACGCGTCCCGCGCCGCCTTCGGCCGCCTGCCGCGCCTGCAGGAGCTCGACCTGGCGCACAACCACCTGCAGGAGATCGACTTCGACGCCTTCCGCGACTCGCGCCGCCTGCAGGTGAGTCTCGCGCCGGGCCGCGCCGCGCCGCTGCTCGCGTGTGCCAGGGCCGGCCTCGTACGCTGCCTCGCCGGAAGCGAGTTTGCCCTCCGCGACGCCCTCCGCGCCGTGTGCGCGTCCGCGCGCTACCCACAACAGCCGCCCTTCCCACGTTATTACCGGTCGACAGAGAGGTTCGATTCGATTTTCGATTCGGAGCGGGAGGAGGATCATTTGCAGGTGAGACATCTGGAGATGACGTCCCTCAGATGAATCATCTGCAGGCAGCCATTCGCAGATAACTCATACTTGCAAATGAGTCCATCTGTGTATGAGCCTAGAGGTTGTGACTTTCTCGGTCTTCAGTAGTTTCTGAAACTCTTGGATTGCGTCAAATAATTCCTTGCTATTTTATGGGCATTTTGATGTGAAATACACTTAGGTGACTCAATAAATACATTTTAAAGCACTAGTTTTCTATTTTAATTCACAAAATTCCTAGGTTCAGATACTGAAATAACTTGAATAAACTGAATGTAAAAATGTGACAAACATTGAGTTTACCTAATGGTATTGAGTGAATTTGCGAGGAAAGTAAACCTACGAAAAACATAGGATATTATTGTGCAGTACGTAGTATATCCATATATAATAAATTTAGTATTCATTATTGTCTTACATTCAATTGAAACCTTTTCTGCCTTGAAGTTCTTTGGCAGTGAAGACTTGTATTATTTAATGTGTTACATATAGACTGTGATATAATGTACTGACGATTCACACAAAACTTTTCATAAATACAAAACAATTGCATTCTAATGTCCTCAAGACGCTTATGGAATTAATAAAAGTAAACTCATTTAAAAAATCAACCATTTCATCTCTGTATTAAAAGTGGTATATATTTCACAGCATCTTTCACTGCACGGTAATAATCACTAGTGTGTTTTTAACACTGTATAGACTAAGTTGGTGAAGTTACATTGCCTTAAACTAGTGAATAAAGAACTTAGATTGGAAACACCCATCAATCAGAAAAAACGCGCAACAATTAGCAATTACCCGCAAAATCTATTCATAATCCTTCTAAACAGTTTTCAAAAACCAAAATTCAAATATAAAAAAAACACAAATCTAAAAAAACGTAACCACCAAGAATCAGCGAGAATTCTGCAATGAGAACTCTCGCCCACAACCTCTCGATGAAGCATCTGGCACGCCACTAGTGAAGTACCTCCCGCAGCCGCCGCACGCCGCGCGCCCTGACGCCGCCCCGCCCTCTCACCCTCGGCGCAGATGCTGGACCTGTCTTACAACGAGCTGATGGACGTGCCGGCGGAGCTGTTCCGCGACCTACCCAGCATCCGCGACGTGCGCCTCTCGCACAACCGCCTGCGCGCGCTGCCCGACGCGCTCTTCTCGGAGGACGGGCTGCGCCGCCTCGACCTCAGCCACAACCTGCTGGCGCGCATGCCCGCCGCCTCGCTCGCCACCCTCGCCGCCGCCTCCGTCGTGCGCCTCGACCTGCAGTGGAACGCCATCTCCGCGCTGCACGGCCAGGACGTCTTCTCGCGGTTCAAGGTGGGCGCGCGCCTATTCTTTCTTCTTTCTTCTTCTTTCGTCTTTCTCGCAAACACAAACAAACGCTTTTCTATCCTCAATATATCAAATAGCCCAATACAACCACTAGCAACACTCAGTGATTTCCCAACCAGAATCCGAAACCGACATCCGCTACAGGACTTCCTCCTTAGATTTTGCTATGTTAAGTAAGCGTAGGTGATCAATGAGTATCCTAAACCAAGGTTGTAGTTAGAATATAATTAGTTTTAATAAGAACCCTTGCGCAGCCCATCCCAACCATGAAGGAAGAGGGTTCAAAAAGGTAAATGGTTGTAGGGAAGTCACCAAGGCACAAGTCACAAGCAAATATCCACGCTTGAGGTGGGATTCGAAATCGCGGCCCTTTGAACCGAGAATGCCAAAGCGCAACGACCTTCTCGGCTACCCAGGTCAGCTTCGAAGCGCTTGGTAAATCACTTAGTAGAGGTTTGGTATGCCAACGTTATCGTGGACCAAAATTAGCCCGGCAACCTCAGTACACTTTCGTGATCGGTACAGCCCTCTTCCGCTTGTTTCGCATATTCACTTCTCTCAATATAGTTTCAGAGAAGCGATATATTACAATAACTGAATCTTTTTAAATAATTCATTGCATGTAATCAAACTATATTACGCAGGGTTTTGCACGGCTAAAATGTTTTTCGCAATGTAAGGCTCAGATAATGCAGAGGTTCATGGAGCTTCTATTTGTAACTATGCGTTTTGGTAACTTTTTTCATACAAGACTGAACTTGGGTCAAGCAATTTCATCGAGTAGTAATTTCGTCTGATATAATATGGTAATTTCAAGCAAAGGGTATTAGGGAATATGCCTGGAGTAGCCTGAATTCAATGGTAATAAAATTAATATGTTAAAACTTTACCAGGATTTTTCATTTTTTGTTCCAACTTCAAACTGCATTTTGCCCGATTTACATCTACGTGCCTTGCCTAACTTTGTCACTGAGTGCCTCAACTGATGCGCCGCGTGTGCCGGCGCGCAGTCGCTGCAGTGGCTGGACCTGAGCGGCAACCGGCTGGTGCGGCTGGAGGACGCGGCGTTCGCCGCCCTGCCGCGCCTGGCGCACCTGCGGCTGGCGCACAACGCCGAGCTGCAGGTGGACGCGCGCGGCCGCGCCTTCGCCGGCCTGCGCGACTCGCTGCTGTCGCTGTCGCTGGTGAACACGTCGCTGACGGCGGCGCCCGAGCTCGCCCTGCCGCGCCTGCGCGACCTCTCGCTCGCCCACAACGCGCTCGCCGCGCTGCCCACCGAGCTCGCGCTCAACCTCACCGACCTGCGCGAGCTCGACCTCTCCTTCAACAGGTGAGACCAGCGCTCCTGGTGCCGAATGATATTTCTCTCGACTCGACCGCTAGTGGCTGACTAGGGTGAGGGATTAAAAATTACCCAAGCAGAGTCTTAAAATCCAGATGATGACGCCACAGGGTTGCCGATGCTTATTAAGAAAAAATTGAAATCTAACAGCTCGGAGCATCTGACAATTGAAGAGCGATTTTACTTATTTGGTTAGGCATCGTGTGTGCGCTTCTGTGTCGTCATTGTCGGGTGCTCTTGTTGCGATATGGTTCTTTCTACTGCTGCTTTTCTTGTGACGTGTCTATCGCCCGAGTAAGATGCAACATCACTCTACCCCAGCCCCAGCTGTGAACACGAGAAGTGCCTGATGGTGGCGTGTTAAACTGTTGTACTAATTCGACGTGTTGTTTGTATCAGATATTACTTCTATATTGTTGGCGTTTCGTTTATCTGTATTTAAGTTTATCTGTATGTTAGTGGTTAGAATAGTAATATTCACAATGTCATCAGTATGTTCGGCATAGAACTGTAAAAATTAGTCATCAAACCGCCGAAATGTCATTTTTCAAGTTTTCCCCCGTATTTATGATCTGTTTACTTCTTATTGCAATAACATTCACTTTCAGACGTTATACTAACTACAATAACATTTCAACAACATCCATTCTTATGACAATAACCGATCCAGGAAGCGACGGGTTTATACATTTTCTCAGTTTGTTCTCCTTACATATTGCCATTTTGTTTTTAAATGATTGGTTTTTGGTCGTGAAACGCAGTGTAAGCGGATTTATATCACGCGCGGCCCCGGCCGTAACCAGGAACCCAAACGGAATTTCTCTAGAAGGCGCTGGCAGCAAAAAACGTGGCTTAAAAACGTTATGCAGTGCGTTGTAGCTGGCTGGGTGGCGCGCAGGTTCCAGACGGTGCCGCCGGCGACGCACGCCATGCCGGCGCTGCGCGAGCTGCGGCTGGCCGGCAACCCGGTGACGGCGGTGGGCGACACGTCGCTGCTGGGCGTCGCCGAGCGCCTCACCGAGCTCGACCTGCGCCGCCTGCCGCTCGCCTTCTTCGAGGTGCGCGCCCACCCCGCCACTCAGCATGGCGGCGGAGCTAGGCATTTCGCCAAAGAATGCATGTTTACGTTGCTCCCACAATTTCTAACGTGAGATGAACAGGGACAATTGTAATGACAGAATATATATGTATATAAGTGGGCATTTGGCATTAAGGGTCATATTAATCCGACATTTGCCAGCTAGCGGTGCGGTGCCAGCTAGCGGCCTGCGCACTGTTTTTATTTATCCGCGTTAGTGGGACTGATATTTGTTTCGTCACACCTACAGAAACTGAGACGGTTTGTATTAAAGGCTAGAGCTTTTTTGTTTCCCGGTACCTCCTCACAGAAAGTACGCACGCTGTCGATTAACCATGGGAGAAGCACGATAAAGTAGCATATTACAATAAATACTGAAAGGGTTGTTAGGTACTTCGTGTTCGAATACTTGGTTTATTTCATACATCTAAAAGGTGTTCTGATTCGGCAATAATAGCGTTCTACAGAATCACGTGTCAAAAATAAGAACACATTAATAGTATCAAAATAAAGAGAAAATAATCTATTTAAAATTAAATCATTATAAGTTTACATAACATGCAACAGAATTTCGTAAATTTCTGCAATATACAAGTTATAATATTTGTTACTGTAGTACGAAACATGATATAAAATGAGAAATATAATGTAAAACTTCAATGACGTTACATGAAACTGACGTCCATGACATGAAATGTGCAAGTTCGTGATATCAGTGATTCACTAATTAACTTACGTCATTAAAATCCTGATCATGTCTATCGTGTATGTAATGTTATCTCAGAAACGTGTTCAATGTCAACGAATCAACGTCAAATCAACGAAAGCTGTGAACAAACGTTGGTTTTGGATTACATGATTTATACCTTCTTAATACTCGTAGTATGTGTAGAAGACAATCCAAAATCATCCCACTTATCACTTCACTAATTATGTTTTACTTTTTATTGTCCAGGAAGGACAATGAACCTGATGAAAGGTCAAACATAGGAGATACGAGTTGAAATGAAATTAACAGATAACTACGCATGATCAAAGAAATCATATGCTTCAAGTACTATTTACTTGAAGATGGAAATACACTTTAAATGAATTCAAATAATTCAACTGTTAAATAAGTTTTGCTGGTAAAACAAAGTAATTTCTGGTGTATTTTATATATTTTATTATGTTAAAGAAACGAAAATTTTATTGATGTAGTTCACCATAAGATGAAATGTGCGGCGAATTGGATTCAACTGCTTAATTTCATTTCTTCGGTTAAGCCAAAATCCAATTAGCCACAACTCACAATCCACTGTTTTTATAGTGCTTCTGGACAGCTCCATTTCCTTGTAGGTTCACATTAGAGGCTTCACGACCACTTCGGTCACGAGATTAAATGGAATTCAAAGAAGATGATGAAATGATAATGCATCTAGGGTAGAATGTGTAAACAATTATTGAGGTAGATTTTAATACAAATACTGTCAATTACTTTAAGTTTATTCACATCATTCAAGACAGTAGAACCCGGAAGGAAATTATGTATTTCGTTTAATTTTATATTTTATACAAAATATATTATATTTTATTTATATTCCGTAGAGAAGCAAATTATTATTTAATAATACGCTTCACAACTAAATATTAAATAGTTATTGCTAGATTCTTATTACCAATTTTTGATGTGTTATTCTTTCCATGGAGACTATACTTCGATTTTTTTAAAGTGGCCAATATTTTATTTAATTAATATTTATAATTGATTCGCGAACGTCCTTTTTAAACGAGGCTCGTGGCTTAAGATATGTGCGTACCATTTTTAAAAGGATTCCTTTTATAAGGCAGGAGGTGTGACAATGACATAATGTCATTGGCCGTTAAGGAAATCGAAGTATATTATGTATTGCGGGATGCGCAGCAAGTGCAGTCCTCGCGTGCCCGCAGCCTGGTTCGCTGAGCAAGATGTCGATGCTGCGCACGCTGCGCGTCAGCACGTACCCTGAGGTGCACGGGCTGAGCGTGCCGGCGCTGCTGCACGGCACGCACGCGCTGCGCACGTTGCACGTGGACGTGCCCCACGGCTCCACGCTCACCCGCGAGCTGCGCGGACCGCTGCCGCCCGGCCTGCGCAACCTCACGCTCTCCGGCCCCGGCCTCACCGAGCTGCCCGAGTACCTGCTCGAGGTGCGGCCCTGCCTTCATTGCCTTTCATGCGCTGTTTTCTTCTTTTTTAATAAAACGTTTCATAGAAAGTAAATTTTATATACTACAGCTTTCACGCGAAAAAATTCTGTTTTGTAAAAGTTTAGTATTCACGTTTTCAAGTATTCATGTCAAGTTTCAAAGTAAAGTATTCAAGTTTTGTAAAAAAAAGTATAAAATCGAACAGGTGCTCCTTACATCAAATAATTTTGGTCAATAACTAATCATCTTTCGCCAATATCGACGAGAGAATAGCAAACGAAAAAAAACCAGAGAAATTTAATTGACAGCAAAATGCCATTTTTCTGTTTGAGTCCGAACGTAGTTTAAGTTCGATTTCTCGAAAAATTATGATTAAAAGATCATTGAAATAATTTGTTTGGATATGGATGGTCAAAAGAAGCACATTTCCAGTTGAGAAAAAAGTACTCACACTTACATTTTGTCACATTGTATCATAATCATTCTGAAAAACAAGAAGATGAAACATAATGTTAGTAATGTTAATAATGTTAATACACAGTATTTACATCAAATGGCGTGTCAAACAATTTTGAAAAAAATTCTGAAGACACGCTTTATGAAACGTTTCATAAAATGTGTTATGTACATTTCATAAAAGGCGTTTTACAAAATATCTGACCATGAGGGGCAGGGATTAGAACACAGTCGAAGGGGATAAGTGTTTGGATGCACTCGCGTTCGTAAGAACACCAAATATTTCATGCCTTTCACTGCGGGCACAGTTGCACTGCGCCCGACGCATTCATGGCCAACACGACCGACCTTCCAGGCTCTTTGAGACGCAACGATGGCGTGTTTTCGACACGAGCTATGTTGCTGAGTTACATTCAATTACTATCTGGAAGAGAATTCAAGCGACCACCTGCTTTAATCTATAGTTATCCGTGTTTTATCCGGTTAATCGCAGACGTATATCGAAGTAGTTTTTGTTTCCTACTCCACCACATCCACACACACACACACACCGTGTTTCATGTTCTGCACTATCACACGCAGAAGGAGACCATTCAGGTGCTTAGAGTTGGTCCCGGCTGGGTTCATGATTCTCGACGGAGATACCTGGAGGGGAAAATCCGATGAACGGGTGTGAAAATCGGCGCCCGGTTGTGATGTAGAGGCACACCGTCACCTGCCAGGATGTAGTATGCACTACATTTACAGGACAAACGACATGGGTGGTTGTCCAGCGTGGAAAGCTCGTTGCTTGACCCCCGTTTGTTCGGCGCGCTGTGCAGGGCGTGCGCGGGCCCGAGCTACACCTGCAGCTGCGCAACACGAGCGTGAGCGCGGTGGACGGCGGCGTGTTCCGGCGCGCGGGCGCCCGCCTGCGCAACCTCACGCTGGACGTGCGCAACAACAGCGCGACGTCGCTCGCCAGCCCCGCGCCCGCCTCCGTGGAGCCCGGCGCCGGCGTCGGCCTCTTCCTCGCCGACCTGCACCTGCGCGGCGACGACTGGAACTGCGACTGCGACCTCGGGTGAGGCGCCACTGCCACGCAAAACCACGATTCCGCATTGCCACCGCTGTTTTGGGATTTGGTTTATTGTCGTACTGTCAGCTCCGTCACGATTTTTCTCTGGGGACACTTAAGATACACGATCCAGCTAAGTTAATATTTTCTTTATGCGAAATTTTTCATTTATGATTATCATAAAATGTATTTTTTTTGTATTCCAACATTATAAAAGAACCATTTTCTGTTACAAGAAATCGTTCATATCGGGCATTTTGAGGCACAAATGATGACGTATTAGTTTTTATGTCACGAATGATTGCATCATCACACACATTCAGCCAATCGTAGTGAGAGAATCGGGGGAGGTAGAGCTACGGAACAGCCGACCACTGTTTACTCGGACAATGTCAATACCCGAGTCGTCTACAGGGTAGTTGTTTGGCAAATTAAGTTTGATTCTCTTATAAATGTATAATGCTGTTTTTACCAAAAAATATAGTACGTCACGCCGTTTTATTAATGTTGCTTTCTTACATTCGTACAAATTTGAAAACTCGCTCTTAAAGTCGCTTGTTTTCAAAACATGTACTCATGCAATAAAGCTTAACTTAATAAACGAATTGCATTAACTACTATTATTTGTTGACTTACTGTTAATATGTATTCCGTTAACTATTGACTTGCATAGAAAAATAGTAAGAAGCTATATTTTTGAAGATGTATTATTAGCTTCGGGTGACAGATGCCCTATGATTACCCCTCTTGCGTGCGTCATTGACCTTGCAGACTTTAATGATGCTACTCCTTAGTTCATCAATTATTACGCCGAGCAATCCCTGCATTTCTGTGAGCTAAACTTTATACACATTGATTTAAAAAATATTTTTTTGAATTGTGGCAGTATTGATAGACCGTGAATTTTACGGAGTACTTTACAACTAAAAGTAAACGTTTACAAGAAAAATAATGATTTTTTTCCCAGTTTAGCGTCTTTGGATAGTCAGTATTGTCTACCTAAATATTTTCTATATAATCAATCGAATCAACAAAAGATATCTTCTGATACAAATGCATCTTGAGCCAAAACAACAGTTGAACGTAATAATCAATGTATTGCGCGGTGTAATTTGTTCTAAGACGATACGATACGGATTACGTTTTTTCTTCTGCTAGTTCTTCGCTCAATTGGAAGAAATTCTTTTCTACTTTTATTTGAGATGACTCAAACACTAATATCTCGATCCATGAACAAAATCCATCTTGGAAACCGTTGGGCATGAGTAAAGCAAAACTCTGCTTGACGTTGGTCTAGAACTAGCGGGGACTTGTTGATTAATGAGGTGGAAACGCTGGAATATAATTCACCGTGCAAACAGTTAAGAGTTTAGAGAGGAAGAGCAGAGTCATTTTGAGTGAGTACGACATAGCTTTTCGGCAGTCTTGTAACTACTATAAACCATTCATTTCGAAGTTAACCTGTAAATATTTCAGTTGTGATGAGATAAGTAAGTCTTTTGTTGAAATCACAATTTTGCCACGAGGTAACTCAGAAAACGTGAAGAGTGCGACGAAAGAGATGATACTCCATATTTTTGGTGAGAAGGGCGTTTACCCATCTTCAATAGTAAAAATTACGAGAGAGAAAAAAGTTAAAGAAATCTTCTAAAAACGCTATTTCAATCGCGAAGATGAAGGTTCACTGATAAGTCATGACCGACTTTTATCTAACGGGATATAATGTTTTGTTTCGCAGAACAATTGGGTTTGAATGATGAAACTCATCCCCACACCCCTCAGCACGAGTACCGAACGATTGTTCCTAGTAGACGAAGCTGTTTAGAAAACATTTGCTCCCTTTGATGTTCTACGAAAGATTGACCCTCTACGGGAAGGGCGAGCACCGAGAGTTTGGCTTTCTCTGAAAAAACACGCAACTTCTTTCCATAACTAGGGAATGGCGAACAGTCACGCGGTTCTTCAATTGCAGCATGTGAGGAGCCAGCTTAAATTTCCATATTTATTAATTTATTTTTTCAGAGAATTGGTAGATCCGATATACAATTTTTTGAACAAAAAAATCAAACAAAAACCCACAAACAAAAATTCTTTGAACAAATTCAAGATAGATATTCAGAGAAGAATTCAAGTATTATTCGATCAACTTGAATTAATTCAAGTATTAGAATGTCACATTTGGATTTCTTTCGACTGCGGAACATATCTCTGAGTGTAATTGCGTCAAAAAGTAACGGATGTAACTGCAGTCATATATGAAACCAGGGCTAAAATCCAAAATGTGAAAACTTGCATTTTGTGCTGAAAAGCATGGTGTAATTGTCGCCACTAGACTGCGCATCAGTCAGTCCACGTAGAGTCCCTAGATACAGAGAGTAGCGCAACTGCCGCCATTTAATATTTTTTCAACGGTTAGGTCCGCCAGGCAGTATTCAGGAGCTGAAGGTAAATTCTAACATTTGGTGCCTTAAGGAGATTTTCATCAATATTACTGTTGGTTTGGGATATATTCATGGTTCTCAACTACTGAATACCACACAGTTCCAATTTCCTGTCAACTGGATATAAATGGTGGGATTGGTGGAACAATGGAATACGCTACTCTCTGTATCTAGGGACTCTTCCTACGAGCTTTTCACACGTTTTTCTAATTATTTCGGAATTCCATTTTTCACTTACAGTCTACAATAATAATAATTGAAATCTCCTGCTGGTAGCTTTGTGGGGTTGTGTGTGAGTGGTGGCGTTGCGTGTTGCGGCCGCAGGTGGGTGGAGGGCTGGCTGCGGCACCAGCGCCAGTACCTGGGGCGGCTGGCGCCCGACGACCTGCGCCTGGCCACGTGCTCCGACCGCAGCAACGCCTCGCTGCTGAGCGTGCTCAAGGAGGAGCTGGAGTGCGGGTGGAGCAGCGCGTCCGCGAGCCCCGCCCTTCGCTGCTGGCCGTCGTCGTCTCGTCGCCTCTGCTGCTGGTGGGCTACTCCGCCCGTGCCACCCCAGCCGCGCCCTAGTCGCCCCCGCCGACGCCCCTTCGCGTGCCCCGCCGCCCCCGCCGCGCCGCCGCCGCCGCCGCGCCAGGCGATCGACCTCTGCCCCCGGCTGCTGCCATGGCCGCCCACGCGCCTCCGGTTTCGACACTTCGCTTAGAATCTCGGATGTCGGCACTGCCATGCGGATATGTCCATTCAGTCATCCAGACTCCCTTCCAATTGCTATTCTTCAGTAATAAGGCAACCCTTTCTTACACATTATTTTTAAATTAGTACTTTATTTAAAATATTATTATTAAATTGTCGTAATAAATTACTGAAGCTTTCTCAGAGGAAATGAATTAAAAATGCTATCTTTAAATTAACAGAATAATACTTCCAACAAACAGAGCAGTTAAATCTGACAAAGTATATTTTAAGACAGAATTATGCGAGAGGAATCTTTTAAGAAAACAGACCAAATAATGGAAGAACAAATTATTCATATGGAGTTTGTCTTAATTACTTGTGTTAGTATAGTATTGTAATAACAATTCAACCTAAAGAATTCACGTGTCTTCCATCTTGTCAATCCACTCAGGGTCTAATCGTACTCTTGACTGAATTAATTACACGAGTTTTGAAAGATTTTTTCTTCTAACGACAGAGTTAAAAATATGGTCATTAATTACATTCCAGGATTCTCTCGTGATTTCAAATCTTTCATAGTACAAATAATCCTCGAAAAATTGCAGATAGCCATAGGGGAACATCTTTTCACGTCCTAAATCCCATCTGAGACTAATCAACATAAAATATTGTGAAATGTGGATCAACTGGTTTGAGAACCGGTATGACTATATTTATTAGACAACGATACGTTTAGACTAAAACATCCAAATTTCTGCGGTCAATTTGTCCAGACCTCTGGCCCGAAACGTCCAGTCGAGTGACATCAATTTCCTTAAACTCTGCGGCGGCTATTTTCCTTTTAACCACTCCTTTTCTAATGAGGGAAGAAGCTCCAACGGGCTAACGGGGGAAGAGGGGGAGAAAGCTTCGATGTCTTGAAAACTCGACCAGTTCAGCCAGAGGTCCAGGAGGCAATGAATTTCACTTCGAAGATCATCATTTCATATGCCAACGGGCCCGGCGTAGCCTCCTGAGGAAATCAAAGTATTTTGAAGGCCCAATAAACTCAGAATGACGACTCATCTTTCGCGGCAGGCGCCTCGACCACCACCATCACCACCACGAACAACAACAACAACAACAAAAGCAACATCACGAGCAACATCACCTGCCCGAAACGAGTCGTTGCATTTTGTGCATCGATATGTATCATCATCGTCAGTATGCAACATCACACACATCAAAAATAATTTTACGTTATTGCAGAACTATATATAAGTAAAGTAAAGAGTGATTCAAACTTTTCTTTGTGTAAAATAATACCAACTAATGAATCACTAAAATGAGTAGTTTCCATGTTCTCGTCCGTCCGGCAAGCCTATGTATAGGAAGAGTTAAATAAATCTAGCTTCGAATTTGTTTGTGAATATGCCTCTGCTTGTCACCTAACCTTAAAGAAGACGTATGTATGTACTCTAGTCAATAGTCATGTTTACTATATGAGAGAAAAGGAATACTCTTGAAATTATACTATACATTAATTACCAAGCCAGTAGACATATCGAAGAAACACGTGTCAAGAATTCATAGTTATCATGTATAATAAGTGAGTGAGATTCATAGACAGTATATCGTATTAAGTATTTTTTATTATACGCTCATGCATATATTTGGTAGCAACTAACTTTTGAGTTTGTAGTAAGTTAAATAAAAAGCAGTGCGATGCAGCTGAAGACAAATAAATGTATGATGGCCTTTGACGAGCAGCTCTAAATTTAAATCTTATGTATCATATTGTTAATATTTCAAATATAATATCGTAGAATTAGTAAAATGTTTACAATATAATTTACTATGTAGAAAGCGTGGTAAGGCCGATTTGGATATTTTGGAAGAATCGAGGTTCGCAAATATTCAAGTCAACCTGTGATCACGAATGAGGCACAGCCGACACCAACCTTGGCCCTTGTAACTGCAGATAATAACGTAGGAGGGAACGTGTAAGTGGTACACACACTAGAAAATTCTGAATAGTAGTCACTTGCCTAATGCCTTTGCAAAAATGGGAAAACATGTATGACATAACTTCGTATGTATGTAAAAACGGTGGAATTATTGAACTCATTAAAGTGATGTGTATAGGTATTCGTAGGTTTGTAGGAGTAGAGGAATCGAAGCAATTGTGTTAGCCGTGCATATCAGTAATGGGCATTTGGATGTATGTAGTATATTCAATATCCTCGCTAAGATCTCTCAACATTGAAATATAAAAAAGTTACAACTATTAGATGTTTGGAGATTTTACATTTAATTTAAACTGAACGTCACGAAAGTGATGAGTTACTCAATTTAGTCAATATAAGTAGAAGACTTTTGTATAATTTAAAAAAATACAAATCGTCTTTAGAAAATAAAGTAGAAATAGATATGTAATGTACAACATGTACTCGAGTGAATCTAATTACGTTTATTGGCTTGGATAATTTTATGTATAGTACGATTTGATAGTTCCATTAGAAAATTCACTGTTAAACAGAACTGGAACAATTTGAATACAAAATATTAAATATTTAATTTATTAATGTTGTACCCGAAAGTAGAGATAATAAAAAAATAAAACAAGTTACCACCATAATCGGAGAAATATTGGTTGATAATTACACCTTATCTATTTTTCCTTCCCTGTGATCCTCTTCTTTAAACCATAACCTATTTTATTAATCAGTAAATAATGATTCATTATTTAACTCTTTCATTTTCGATCATGTTTTTCAGAACAGAAAATGAAACAATCCCTTTAGCTTTAATATTTTAAGATTCTGCAAGTTTCTAATCATTCGTGGCACGGAGTTGGACAGTGAAATCTTTAAAAATGTAATAGAATATCCCTATCATGTCTCATTTTCAGTAGTATGTTTTAAGAAAGACTCGGGCTCATTAGAAGTCGAAAATCTGATTTTTAGGGTCTAGAAAGGAGCATGATGTCTAGATAATCAAAAGGAAAAAAATAAAATAAAGAAGCAACAATAATATATCAAAAAATGAACACAAAGTCAAATTTTCAACCCCAATTACTGCAGAAAATTGTTTTACATTTTTTGTTGTAAATATGATAAAAAATTAATTATTCTCAGAAACTCGGATTTTCATTTCGATCAGAACATTGTACCTCAAGACTTCACGTCCACCGGAAAACGAATCTTAAAAATGTGCTCTGTTTTTTTCATCGTTAAAGAAGTATCTTTCAATAAACGTTGTATGTAACTATAGAATGTTAAACTGTAGTATGGAGAGTAACTAGTAGTTAAACTGTAGAGTGGATAGACGGACACATAGGGGGTAGACCGAAGTATATTTGAGGTTAGGAGGACTAAGGGAAGGATCGATGGACGGCCGAAGGGACGGTAAGAAGCAAGACGGTCGGAGAAGCAGAGGAAGGGATAAATGCAAGTGTGGACGAAATGAATCTCTTGAGTGTTCTATATGTATGAAAAAAGTGAATTCATTATGCAATAAACTTATATTGCAAGTTAAGTCTTAACATTTTACTACGTACAAATAAAATAAAACTGGGCACCGCCCATTCATTTAATTTAAACAGAAAAATGTTGCAAAACTATTGTGTGTTGTAATGAAGATCGAGAATCGGCATTTTAATTGGCATTTTAATGACCGTTTATTTTACAGTACTTATGTCCGTACAAACACACGCACTTATCTTTTCACTTACTTTTCTTGCTTTGAGAACCTTGTTTTCTACAGCTTTCGGTGGGTAGATATTCTCGTCCACCTCCACTAGCTCTGCCTACTGCCCCATTTCCTTCCACCCACTGCTTTATGCACACCACCGCAACTCCCACAAAAGGTTCCCCGACATTCTTTCACCTGGGGGACCTTCCTCGTGCGGCCCAGTCGCACGGATAGGACCCTCCCCCGATCTTCGGCCCATCACCAGCCGCGAACCCCCCCTCGCCCGCCCCGCCCCGCCGAGCCCCTCCCCGCCCCGCCCCGCCCCTTCCTGCTGCCCGCCCCCCCCGCCCCCCCGCCCGCGCCGCGCCGCTCCCGCGGTTGTTGCTCCGCAGCCGCGCCTTCCGCGCTGCCGCCGCCGTGCCGCGCCCGGCGCTGGCAACGCTGCCCTTGCGGTGCTCGCGGCGGCGGCGGCGACTAGCGGTCCCCGGTGGGCCGCCAGTCGCCCCGCGGTCCTCGAGGCGAGCGTGCCGCCTCCTCTCCCGAGCCCGCTCTTCACGCGCGTCCCCTGCGTCCGCGGCCATGCGCGCCTAGTGTTGACGCAGCCTCAGACGCCCCAGGCAGCCTCTCTCGTGTGTGTGTGTGGGTGTGCGCACGTGCCTCCCGAAGTGCGCCGGGATGGTGACGCGTGGCTTGAGAACGGTGAGTACCAGGCGGTGCCAGCCGCTGCGCTGGACCGGTGTTGACCTCGAGACCCCGGCCGCTGCGACATGCAAATGTGCGTTGAGCGGGTTGCCGCCGCAGGCGTTGAGTTGACGTGATTTGCAAACATCCATTCTTGAGGATGTGCGGTATCTATTGTCTCATTGCCGTATGCAACACGAATAAGCTGAAGCATTGTTTAAAAAGCGTATTGTTGTAGAATGTGATTTTTAAACAGGTAATGCAGTTATAGAAATAATTAAGACATTTATTTTTATTGTGTATGAAAGAAAGTAAAATGATTCATCGGATATATCTATAGAAATTCGACTCATTTAAACACAGTGCAATTGTTATAAAAATGGAAAAAAAATATTTTTTTCGTTCTGAACTTTCTTTTTTTTTACGTTTTATTGAAAAACGTATATTGAATAAAATGCAATCGTTTTATAAATATCAGTAGAAACTATGAACGTAAGAAATCTTTTTATTTGCCAGTTGTATATTCTCAAAATAATTTCAATGGCAGTTTCTATTTTTTTGAACGTTATTAAAATTTCGTGATGGTTATTATCACAGAGCAACTACGTGTGCCATTTAGAAGCATTTCTGTCGAATTCCGGCATTCTGATTTTGCGCGTGATGGTCCAGTCTCTT